ATACTTCCCACTATGATATCATGATGTTTAAGGAGGATGGCTTGCATGAGGGTTTATTCCGAAGAAGTTCAATTATACAACTTCTGGTTTACCTATGTTAAGTCAATTATGGCCAGGTCAAGTACATGTGCACTAATGAATTGAGATTAAGATATATGAGTTATAATTCATGTATAAGGATACCAAACACGAGTGATTTGCTCTCACGCTCAACTACATAGTAATTAGGGCTCCCCATTCTATTACACTGTTGTCACATGTTATATCACACCCGTGAGGCGGTGTTGACTGATGATCCTTCATGAGAAATGTATACACCTAGAGTGGTGTCGTGTTTGACCACATCCATAGTGGTTTTAGGTTCGTTATGACCACATCGATAGTGGTGGGTCCGATATGACCACATCCGATGAGATGTTTGGTCCATTTTCCTGAGAGAGTTGTTAGCATGGAAGTAGCCAGACGCTTATTGCAAGTAAAACATGATAAGATGCATTTGCATAATTTGGATGGTTGAGGCTCGGCTCTAGTGTTTTGGCTTGATTGTTAGATGTATGGTAGGGGTATGCTCTGTTATGAACTCACGATGCAATGATTGTCTCACTCAGATATAAGCTGACCCTCTTTTATTATTATACTCTCTGCTTATACGATGTGTAAGCAGATCATCAGCAACAGTAGTAGCAAAGTACATAGGTGTGAGCAGAGCTAGGAGTTGAAAGCAAGATGAGCCATTGTCTTCAACTATTTTGTGTTCGAATGACTACTCTGGATTTTGGCCAGTGATCCACCTTTTGATAAAAATGTTTTGAGAACCTTTTCATTTACATACTAGTTTTTCATGTAGTGTGTGGAATCCACAGGTGTGACAGGTTGTTAGGTGGCATATATGTGAGTGGTTGTTTATGTAATGATGATTATGACATGTACTAGTATGATATGTGAGTATACAGTATGAAACTATCGCTACGCCTATAAAAAGCCAATGTATATGGTTGTTGGTCTATATGTGTACCTATGCACGCAGAGAATCACATAATTTATGTTGCAGGTTTTATTGGAAGAACTGTTAGCCCATTACGCGAGTCATTCATGTTGAAATTTTATTGGGTTAATTTTTAGAATTAATGTAACACCTATGTTAAAATCTGTTGTAATTGTATGAACAACATGATTAGGTAAACGTACGGAGTGGGGTGTTTCAATTTCAAAATTCCATGGTTTCACTGCACACATCACGGGCGTGAAGATCAATCGTGAAACACTCACTATCGGGTATAGAAGGAGAACGAGATCATATTTCAAAGGGATAAGAGTTTTAGTGTGAGATTCGTTTCTTCTACCACATTCTAGAGAGAGAAAGAGACATACCAAGGAAGATTCACGTGGATTTGACCTACCCAACACCAAAGGAGGCCAGATCTTCAAGCACCATTCCAAGCAACTTTCAATGAGTTTTCCTCTTCTCTAGTTGTAGTTCTTTCTCTATTTATGTAGAATATCCTTATTTCACTTGGATGATGTGAACCTTAGTCTAGGATGTTGTAGATTGATGTTTATGAACTTTATGTAGTGATTGGTATATTTGATTACATATTGATTGAGTATGTATCATGAAAATTGAGTGCCCTTGATCAATTACCTCAATTTTTGGGAAAATTAACCTAAGTGTGAGAGATCTCCTTATGGTAATTTGGATCACTCTTCAACCATCATAGAGAGCCATGAACAAGGGTGGTTGATTTATTTATTTCGTTCGAGGTCATCGCCGAGGTAGTGAATTTGGTTACCCTAATTGACTAATTCGGTAGTACGCCCTCTGATTACTGCAGTTAGGTGGGTTAGGATGCACTCAAATAGGGTGTCCTAACTGACTTTGATCTCCTAACTGAGTTATGTCCTCTATCATTAACTGCTTGGCTTTTATTTGTCATTCTTTAGCCCCCTTTCACGCTAGGTTGTGCTTATTTTAGTATATTTCATATCCTAGTAGGTGAATATGGCAAAGCAACGATTGTTGTACCATTTGGAGTCAAAACCGACGCAAAGACAACAAGTTGTAGATGTCATGGTTCAGAGCATGAATGTCATAGCCAGACCATGACATTTACAAAAGAGGTTGTGAGATTCGACAAAATTTTCAAGAAAATACATGTCATGAGCGTTGCAGTTGCCACGGTTTCAACCATAACATTTAGAAAAAAATTCGTTACTTGTGTAAGTGATGCAGTGCATTTTTTATCGACGTCACAGTAATTGTCGAATATCACGACCGTGACGTGAATCTGTGACTTGTGTATTGCTGGGAATAAATCAGATTTGTGGCCATTTTTAGGGGAGACGAATTTTAGAGGAAGCGAGAGTTTTAGCCTCTACTAAGAGGACGTGATGAAGGAGGAACCCTAAAGGGAGATTGGAGCCATCCAACCTCAATCGGAGGGAAGATTCATCACTTAGGAGTGAGATTGGATTTCAAGAATAAGAACTCGTCCCCAAAAGAGAATTTCTCTTCTTGAGTTTGTGTTTTCATCTATTTATCTCACTATGGAGTAGGCTTCATTCTCACTTGAATGTGTAGATTTCTTCCCATGTATGTTAGGGTTTGATGTCAAATGATTCCTATGCTTGTTAGTTGTTACCTTGTTTATCATATATATCGAATTGAGGTATTTATAATGAAATTGATTAAGTATTGATCACACTCTCAAATTTGAGTTATTGACCTCAAAGAGATAAAGTCTAATTAGGTTGATTAGAGCATCTTCAATTCTTCATTGTGGGTCAATTGAACTAGTGTTATTTGGTTTACAATGTCGTATTTGATAGAGATCTTTTAGAGGGAGTCGAATTGCATGCCTTAGGTGTTCTATGTCTGTTGTGGAAAATCTCCCTCCTCGTCGCTCACCTAAGTGGACTTGGGTAACTCAAATAGGGAATCCAGTCTACTTTAGACTCTTGACGATGTAAATTTAGAGTGGGCAAGCTAGGGGAAGTCAACATTGACCTAACTTAGGGCTACAGAGAAGCACAACCGAGTGATCTTCTCTTAATTGAATGCTAATAATTCTAGCTTTGTTTTGTTTACTTAGTTGCTTGATAAAAACTACATCTTGTTAGCTAGATAACTATTAGTTCGTCGAGTAGTAGTAGACTTAGTATCCGTGTTGATAAATTAAACTTACCTATCCTATATTGCACGCGGTTGATGGCTATAATTAACCATTAGTTGGGAAGTTTAGTTAGGCTTGAGTGTACGTGGGCACCGGGCCGTGCCGCCCACGGGCTAGCACGACACGGCACGGTTAGAGCACGACACGAGCACGGGCACGAAATAAATGGGCCAGCCCGGCACGAGCACGAATAATTTATGGGCCATGTCGGGCCTAAACTTCATGGGCACGGGCACGAGCACGGGCACGGCACGGTATACAAGTGGGTCGTGTCGGGCCTAATATTTTCGAGACTTTATTGAGTATAAGAACGGACATGGCACGAAAATAATATTTATTTGATAGAAAATAAATATAAAAAGAATTATAGGTTCAAATATTACAAAACACAAGTAGAAAAATAATTATTTGTTGTTGTTAGAAGTGTCATAAAGATATATACGTAATTACTAACATAAGTAAAAGTGGACAAAGAATTAATCACACTCGCTATACTTCCAATTTTGTTTTCCCCCTATTTGTTACTTTTCTCAAACATTATCGGTTAATACTATCTTCTCTCGTCCAATTTTCACCTTCTTTTTCATTCTCTTTTGTTTTCGTCCTTTTAATTAAACACGAATACGAGCATGACACGAGCACGAATAGGCACGGCACGATTCGAATCGTGCCGGGCCTGGACCGGGCCTAGCAAAATTGACAAACGGGCTTGCATGGCACGCCACGAAAACTGACGGGCCGTGCCAAGCACGGCAAAAAAATAAATGGGCCTGAAGCATGCCTGTGCCGTGCCGGCCCAAGCACGGTCCAGCGCCTATGTACAGGCTTGAGTCAAGGATCACCGATTTTTTAGCAGGAGCTACATTCAACTCCTATTTTAAGTTGGAAATACTTTTCAGTCCTTTACTCTACCTATTTCTTTGGAACTCGGAATATGGTGCTTGGAGATATTTGACAGTCGCACCTCTAATAGTGAAGTGGAGTCATACGAGGAATTTGGTTTTGGTTTTTCTTTATGGCAGAAGACCACGTGGGAAATAATCATATGACATGCAAGAATTTTTTTTTTTTTTGGGAAGAGAATGTATAAGATAATAGGTATATGGTGCACAACAAAATTTGGACCATTGTTGCTAAGTGAGGTTAGATTTAAGGGGTGAAATTAAACAAATTTATTTTCCTTACTTCTTTTAATCGGTTGTATCTTTTTGTTTTAAAGTGAATTGATTTGTTTTTGCATAGATGGGAGTGGGACATGCTTATTGTGATCTACAAAATTATATTAATTTGATCTATTTCGGGAAAAAAAATTATGTATCATCCAATATCACTCGTTACCACCTAATATCACATGATACCACAATGCATCATGTTATTTTTTAACCAAAATTTGAAACTTTTTGTACAGAAGGGACTAGTTAATCTTGATCTATTGTGATTTACAAATTTTTGGGAATATAATTTTCAAGATCAAATATACCAGCTTATACTACCATGATTTAAGGTGGTAACTGATGGTAGATGGTGCTTAGAGGTTGCGAATGGTGATTATTATATTCCTACTATCATCTATACAATCATTCTATATTGTAGTATACCCAAACCATCATAGTATATTTTCATACCACCGGTACTCTATTAATTTCTCAGTTCCTCTAGTCGGGTGGGTGTCGACCGGTCTTTCGACCAGATCCCCCTAAAAACCTTACGTGTGGGTCTCCCGTGCACCGTTTTTCTTCTCAACCATGACGAATCAATTGATTTAATGTAGCCACCGCTCTTTCCTTGCCCCCCCCCCCCCACCCCACCCCACACCCCAAATGAAAAACACGGTTAATATAAGTTTTATATACAAATTATTTTGAATAGACTTACGATTTACCCACATCAATCAATCACCCACTTACCCCACTAGCCCATCCCTATTAATTAATGTATAAATTTTCTAGAGATCTCTTTAAATATTACATCTTCAAACGTTGCAAGACTGCCTTAACCCTGTAGTCAGCTTCAGCGGATCCCTGAGAAGAAAAAAATTACAATTACCTGCATACATCATCAACTTCACTCGAACCATGTGTTTTAGCAGGCAGCAGCAGCATACACACAAACCCTTCGCTTCCTTCTTCTTTTCCCTCTCTTTTTGGGGACTTCGAAAAAGGTAAGATTTTTATTACAATCTCAGGCAAAGCAATCCTAATACCTCTAGGAACTGTACCTGCTCAGCAGCCCCACCATCATGTACACCAAATTACATTGTCCTCTTATCGACCTTCAATTACTCTCACATTTCTACTACTAGAATTACCAACATCCACTGCCACCACCATACTTTCATTTCTTCTTCTTGCCTTTCTCCTTTTCACTTTCACCATTTTGAAGATTTACATTTTGCAGCCATTCCATTCTCATTCAAGTATGGCTTGAAGGTCTTCATCACTTCCTCGTATAAGGGCCTTTTGTAGTCCACTGCCTGCACTTCAAAAAAATCCATCATGTTTGGGATTTGGCATAATCTAAAGATCTTACTTTGCATCAAAGGAACATTTTTGTTTATGACTGTTACCCCTACCAGCTCAATAACTTCTTCAGGGCTTGCCCATTTCCACTCAGAGAATTCTGAATCTGCTTCCTCATTGACTAGGTTGATCTTGTCGTTGTCTTTCATTAATCTCACAAGGAACCTGGCGTGTTTGCAAACTCATTGTCACCGCAAGGAAATCATATTCAAAGGTATCTCGGCTACAATGTTTGTGTGTGCGCTTGTGTTTTGACTTTTTGAGTTGCCAGGTTCAAAAAAGAAGAGGATTAAGATCGATAATCTTGTAACAAACATCCTATATTCCTATGCTTGAGTGTTGTGATATAAACCTTCTAACATTCCAGTGCTGGTTCAGCACACAGCTTGACATAAACTGTTATGGATTAAAATTCTTTTCAAGGAAAAGAAAGTTCGATAGTGATTAAGATTGTCATAATTAAAAAAAAAATATATAAGTGGTGTTCCTTATCAATTAATATTAACTAAAAGCCACATCCAAATAGACACACGCCATCTTTCAAACATACAGAAATACAGTACCATTTTTGTGCTTGCCCGTGCCATTCTCCACCCCAAAGGCGATTTACTTTGGCTTTCACAGCAGGAGGGAAGTCATAAGTCAGCCATTTAGGAACCTGTAAGCAAACCCAGAAAGACGATAATTATAATAAAATCTACTAATCCAGAGTGACTCCTGCTTAAGGAAGTTTTGAATCAAATATTTCCCTAACAGCTGCTAAAAATCCACTTAACAATCAAGACAGCGCTGCACTACGTTTGGGTTTTGTTTACAAACCTCAGTAACGATTTCTGCAGTTGTTATCCCGGTTTCTGCGCGTACTTCCCTGATTGCAGCAGTCATGGGCTCTTCGTCATCCTCAATACTTCCCTAAGATAGTGAAAGGTATTTGAGGCATTAAGAAGACAGCATAACATCTAAATGACAATGATTACATAGAATGTGCATTTCCACTCCTCTCCCCATACAGTAACATTAGTCTTTTATTTATCACTTGTCAGACCTTTAAAATCATGAAAACCACCTCCAAATCTCAAAATTTAAGGATATTTACTGCAATTTGTAACGTTGAGGTGGATAAAATCAATGATCTAAGCTTTACTACTCACACTGGGTATTGAATGTCAGCCAGGATTCACAAACAGAATAGGACCAGGTAACTTGCTTTGCTCCATTCTCTGGTTAAATTTCAGAACAAAGTGGCAAATCTCTGATCCTGGTTCTCAAGGTCTAGGCGCTTATGATATATGTGAGTCAACAGTCTTCACACAGTAGAAAGAACGAGAATAGAAAATTCTAATATCACTTCTGAGGGAGGAAAAATCTAATCAGAAGGGGTAATTCACAACAGGGTGATGAAGGTCAGGCAGATGAACCTTGATAATATCAACTGCTGAATCAATGGCAGCAGTGGCTTATACAACAACAGATTCATGCTTAATGACGCAAATGAAAAATGAATCTCAGGCTTGGACATCCTTTCGGAAAGTTATACCATCCGGGTAAGCAAGGTACCAAAAGGACTTGATTCTCTAAACACAAACAACTGATGTATAGCAGAGAAGAGAATGTCAGGCAAGCATACCTGAGGCATTTGCCAGGCTCCTGGAACATTCAATTTAGAGGCCACAAAGACCTGCGAGAAAAGCAAGAAGGTCCACAATATCATTAAAGAGAAACAGTTAAAAGAATGCAATTATTATGATATTCGATCCTGACATCCGAGTGCAGGACTAGAATTGCAATATATGAGATAAATACTATAACGAAATTACAATCCGCAAGCTAGCAGCGCAAAACAAATTGACACTTTTGGCTTCTTGCAGTTGAATGTGCAGGTTTTAACCAAGTAAAAGTGCAAAGCTCATACCTTTATACGCCTTTTCACTAGGACCAAATATAGTAAGGATCCCAAAATTAGCAAATGAAAAGGGAAGCTTAGTGATTCATTAAACCATAGTTTCATAGTCAGATGAGATCGCGTCTCAGGATCTAGTTCAGACCAACCAACCAAGTTACAGGGCTTAACATCTGACCTTTACTAGACCATTTATCTCTCTCTGCATTCAATTTTGGACAACGGCACAAATACCATGATGACACCAGCAAGCGTGTTTCAGGTGGATGACATAATTGCATCCAGGGAGGACATCAGCATGCAAACCATACAAACACAGTAAAGAAATCCTACTCCCAGAAAGTTGCTTCCCCAGATACACAACTGCCCCAGAAACGGACAATAATAATGAGCCAAGCAAAAAATACAAAAGATCAGAAAATAAAGAAATGTCAACTCTAGATTGCTGCAGAAACTAACAAACGCATCCAACTCGATGAGAACACAAAAGAAAAAAGGTCAAACTTTGCAATTCTGATTAAGGAAAAAAATCCAATCACCATATCTGTACCACTACAGGAGTTCATAATAATGATCCTCATCTGCAGATCCAGATCTCCCATGTCCACAAATCTATATGAGACCCAGGTCACCAACCCCACAACCAAAATTAACAGCAACACTTAGCGTTTTCGCTTCGTCCCTAGAGAGCAGAATTGACTAACAGTTACTACTACTGATGATCAATAAGCACAAACTCATCAGTCTGAAACCAGCAAGGATTGATTGAAAACGAGAACAAAAAAATTAGACAGAGACGGAAAAACTGGGAAGTGGGTTGATAGCTAACTGACCTGGCCATTAGAGTTGATTAGACAGACACCAACATTAGGGCGGTACCCAGAAGGCAAACCATCCATTTTACTTTTCCTTTAGGCTACAACCCCTTCCTCCTTTCTTTGAGAGCTTTATTTAGTGCCTATTGCCTTGCTCAGTGGAACAATCTGAATCAGGAACTGTAAAACACAGCAAGCTTCTGATATCAATCAGTACATCTATATATATGGCCCTTTATTTCTGTGTCAAATCTTCAGCAGAGCAAGAGCCAAGAGCAGAGAAAAGTGAGGGGAAAGAGTGGTTTTTATGGGGATTGGAGACGCTGACCATCATAAATGGCTGACAATGAACTCAACTTTCTCTCTCTTCTTTATTTTTTCTTTTTCTTATTGGCGGAGCAAAGCAAACTTCAATTAATGAACAATACAAACAAAAAGGAGACAGATAGTTGATATCATGGGGAAGAAAGTGGTGCTTTTTCTCATTTTCGGAAAAGGTTTTGGGAATTTTTGCCCCCACTTCTTTTATTATAATAGTTTTGTGTTGAAAGTCAGAATACTTTTCGGGTCCGGTTAATTGCTTCCTAGGTCACTTAAATTCTACACCTATTGTATGTTATCACTTGTGTAATATTTGTTGCAATTAAATCACCTAACTTTAACTTTGGGTTGTATCTAGGGGTGGGCATTCGGTTCGGTTTTATCGAACCGAACGAAACCGACTATTCCTTATTAGGTTCGGAATTCGGACGGAGATATTCGGAATTTCGGGAGACATGTGTCTTTTAACCGAACTGAAAAACCAATTTACCGACCGAATTTCCGAATTGATAATGGCCTAACCCCTTTTCAAACTTCAGCGTACTCCCACTTAATACTTAACCCAACTAAAGCCCAATTTCCAAACCCAACTCCTCTCATGTCTAGTCCAGAACTCCAGATCAATCCAATTTCCAATTCCCCTTCAGGCTTCAGTAGTTTCGTTTCACAACCGAAAAACCCTAACTCCCTAAGGTGATTGTCGATTGCCGAAGCAGCAGCCAGCAGAGAGTCGACGCGATGCAATGACCACGACTGTTGCCGCTGCGCCCCGTCGGCCATCTCGGCATCCCTTACCCCGACGTCCTCTCCCCGAGCCCGACTCTCTGACTCCCTCCATCTCTCCCATTCCCAGTCTTGAGTCTACCACCGCCAGTCGCCCAGTCCGTCATGCCACTCGCCGCCTCCCTCCCACTCCCAGTCTCCCACCCACAAACTCTCCCGCCAAGCGCCGATAGCCACCAGTCGCCGCATAGAAACATGACTACCAGTCGAAGACCAAAGAAAACCCACCGGCAGCTCCACCAACGCCAACGCGAAAGTTCAACATATTCCAAACGAGAATGTGGACGTCCATCTATTGGTAGGTTCTTAATATTCCAGAACTTGATATTGTTATTTGAGTTTGCATTTTGAGATTGCTATTTGAGTTTGCTATTGTTTAATACCAAGTGTGTCCAGAAAGACCAGAAGGCAGAATGGTTTAATAAAAAGTAAGTTGTTGGTTTGTAATTTAGGATATAGCAAACTACTTTGTTGGTTTAATTTAGGCGTGTGGATTAAGGACAAACCCTTTGAATTTATAATTTTTTATGTTGCTTAATGGCTAATGTTACTGCCTCTTGTGTTTATTGATGGTGTAGGAAGAGGATTCATTGGCCGATGGTGATCCTCCTGTGGATGAAGCTGTTGTCCGCTCCGGCTCTACTACCAAAAAATCGTTAAAACCAAAAAGAAAGGAGATGAAGTCAATAGTGGTGTGTTGGACTCAATTCACAAAGTTCAATACCCCAGACGGATATAAGATGTCAAGGTGTATGAAGTGTGGGAAGGAGTATGAGGCCGATCCATTTCTTAATGGTACCTATGCTATGAATGTTCATATGCGAAAGGGTTGTGGTGACAAAAAAGGTACTACTCAACAACTCTTGAACTTAGGGAAAAGTAGGGTAGAAGGTAAAGGTACTTTAACGAACTGGAAGTTTGATTAAGAAGCTACTAGAAAGGGTTTAGCTTACATGCTCATTGTTGATGAAAAACTGTTCAAGTTTGTTGATGGGGTTTAAGTACTTCATGTCACTATGCTGCCCTATGTTCAATATTCCTTCTAGGAGAACAATTACTAGGGATTGCTTTGCCTTCTATAGCGAAATGAAAGACAAGTTGAGTAAGTATTTTAAAAGTTATGAAGGAAGAATTTGTTTGACTACTGATGCATGGAATTCGAATAAGCAAGATAGCTTTATGTGCTTAACTGCTCCCTTCATTGATCAAGATTGGAATTTGAGAAAGAAGATCATCAATTTTGGAGAACTTAAAAGTCATAAAGGTGTAGATATTGCTGATGAAATTATTGCTTGTTTGGATGATTGGGGGATTGAGAAGGTATTCACAATTACTGTCGATAATGCTAGCTCTAATGATACAGTTGTGGCCAAATTGAAGGAACATTTTAATGCTAGAGGGACTAGTATATGTGATAGTGAATTTCTTCACATAAGATGTGTAGCTCACATTTTAAATTTGGTTTTGTCTGATGGGCTTGGAGATATTTCCTTGTTGGTGAAGAGAATTAGAGAAGCACATTAGAAATTCACCAGAAAGGTTGAATTTGTTTTGTGAGTTTGCTACTGTTCAAAAGGTAGAAGGCAAACGTGGCTTATGTCTTGATGTTCCTACTAGATGGAACTCGACATTCTTGATGTTGCAGGCTGTTGAGAGGTTTGAAAAGGTCTTCATGATATTTGACATGTATGACGACCATTTTCAAAAGGATTTGGAAAGCAAGAAGGATGGCATGGCATGATTGGGGTCCCGGAAAAGGATGATTGGGAGAATGCAAGGAGAATGATGGAATTTCTTGGTCGGTTCTACGACTTCACCTTGAAGATCTCGGGCTCAAAATATACCACTTCCAACTTGTTCTAGCAAGAAGTGAATTCCTATATCATTTGATAAACAAGTGGGAGACGGAAGTTGAGAAAGATATCGACTTGAGTATCATGGCTATCAAGATGAAGATGAAGTACGAGAAGTATTAGGGAGATGTGGATAAAATGAACAAGCTACTTTACATCGCCATTGTAATGGATCCGAGGTACAAGTTGGGTTTTGTTGATTTTGCTTTGAAAAGGGTGTATCCTGAGGGTGGCAAGGGAGCATGTATGGCGGGGGATGTGAAGAAGGCTAGATTTGATCTATTTGCTCACTATGAACGGCTTTGGAAGTCGAAACAATCCAAGAATGCCTCTACTTCTTTGGCCCCAATTGTGAAGGAGGGTGATGCGGATGAGCTTGATGTACTTGTTGAATACAAAAAGCATAGAGTGCAAATTGTAGGGGAGGTAAACAAATCCGAGCTTGAGAAATACCTACATGAGGAAGACGAGCCAATGGTGCTCAAGTTTAATGTACTTGGTTGGTGGAAGGTTAATAGCTTGAGGGTTTCCAACCCTTTTCATGATGGTTAAGGATGTTTTGGCGGTCCCAATCTCTATTGTTGCATCCGAATATGACTTTAGCGCTGGTGAGAGGATTCTAGATGATTTCAGAAGTTCATTGACTCCTAAGATAGTTGAGGCATTAATTTGCAGGTCGGATTGGATTCGAGGTGATTCTGCACCACCATCAGGCGAGGAGGATCCAGAAGAGGTTGAGAAAATTGATGAAGGTAAGTCTCAAATCTAGAATTACATATTTACAACATGATTAATTTGTATGTGCATGACTAATTTTGAGTCTATTTAATCATACAGAATTGGACAAGTTGATGAATGCTATCTCTATAAGAGATAATCTTGTTTCATCTACCTCGACTTCCAATGTCGAGAGTGGGAGGAGGAACGAAAGCAATGCATCTAGTAGTGCTTGTGGTGATAATTCTGATGTCTCTATGCATGATTGATGACTTTAGAGGTAAGAAATAATGATTTTAGTCTACTTGGTTACTTGTAAATTGTAATTAGCTCTATAGTTATTACTCATTAACCATCATTGTTTCATGTTTATAGTACTATTTTCGAATTCAAAGGTCTCAATTGTCCAAGAGTGAAGAGCTAAGAAGCAAGACCTTTGGAGTTTCTACAAGCTATGCTTGGAATTTAGACATTGATTACCTTTCTCATGTTAGTTTGAACTTCAACCATTTGTATTGTAATGAATATTTGGAAGGACTCGATGTATTGTATTTGTGTTGAATATTTGGAAGGTGGACATTGATTATCTTTCAACTTTGAATGATTGTCTTAATTAATTGTATTTGGTCTATAAAATTGAAATGTTAGGTGGTAAATAACTCAAATGAGAAGCCAAAATACAGCAGCCCTATGATCCAAAAAGGGAGCACAAGGACCCAAAATGGCACGACACTTAGCAGGTCAGCAGCATGAAATTCGGTTCTGAGAAGGAAACCAAACCGAACCAAGCTATAATTTGGTTCGGTCGAATCAAACCGAATTATAGATCGGTTCGAATTTGGTTGTGGTGTGGGAAGCTTCGGAAAGTCGGTATGTGGAACCGACCAAACGCCCACCCCTTGTATCTACTATATAAAAAAAAAGGGTTATATCTATAATATGCCCCTTTATTATGATGTTTTATCAAACATGCCCCTCTACTATTTTTTACATCAAACATGCCCTTGTACTTTGGAAAACTTATCAAACATGCCCTTTTGTTAAAATTTCCATAAAAAACCGTTAACCAAGACCGAACTTTGGTTTGGGCGACCCAAATATCTAAAATATCCCTAATAATTTCACTTTAGAGTTTTTTTTTTTGTTCTTTTTTATAGCCAAATAATTCTAATAATTTCACTTTGATGAGACCTAGAGAAATAAAACAAGGGTCAAAATTGACATTTCCCCTCCCATTTATCGATGGCAGGTCGTCTAAATCTCGGTTCAACCATGATTGATGATTTTTTCAATGGAAATTTCAACTGAAGAGCATGTTTGATAGATTTTCCAAAGTACAGGGGCATGTTTGATGTAAAAAATAGTAGAGGGGCATGTTTGATAAAACGTCATAGTAGAGGGGCATATTATACCTATAACCCAAAAAAAAACTTTGGGTTATCTAACCTTTTTAATCCCAAAATTTAACGGTGGCTATGAAACCATAATCAGAAAATGCCATGTGTGATCAAACTCTGTTGAGGTCCACTGGTCTTAAACGAAAACATTTGGCTATCTTTGTTTGATTTGTATCTTTTCTGCAGCAACACAAAACAAGAGGAATGAAATAAAACAAGGAAATGCAACTAAACATGGAGACCAAGGGTTTCAATTCAATACCACTTGATTGTCACATCAAAATACGTTTATGAAAAAATAAATGAAGTC